TCTTTCTTCTTCTCTTTCACATCTTTCTTCTCTTTCTTAAGTTCCAGACAGTCTGATTTGATATGACCAGGTTTTCCACATTCATAGCAATGAAATTTATTTGTTTTCTCCTTTCTTTGCTGTCTCTTTTTCCTGTTCTTCATAAAGCGAGAAAATTGTTTAACAAAAAGAGACATATCGGAATCCGAAAACTTACCTTCATTTTCGCTTTCGTCTTGTGAAGATTTTTCTACTTTTAGAGTTATCGTCTTGGTTTGATTCTATTCACCATTCTTTAACCTTTGTAGCTCCATCTCATGTTCTTGCAGCTTTTCAAATAGAGTAGCAATATTCATTTTTGTGAGATCCTTTGATTCTGTAATAACAGTGACCTTTGGTTGCCAATTCCTATCTAAGGATTTCAAGATCTTTGTGCTCAACTCCTCATTGTCAAAACTCTTTCCTAATGCTTTCAAGTGATTTACTATATGTGTGAAGCGTGTTTGGAAATTCGTGATGCTTCTGCATTTGAAATAATTCATACTCCTGGATGAGTGTGTTTTTATGTGCTCGTTTTACTTCATTTGTTCCTTCATGTGTTACTTCAAGAGTGTCCCATATTTCTTTTGTCATCTTGCATTGTGAGACCCTGAAAAATTCATTACGAGTTAAGGCAGAAACAATAGCATTTTGGGCTCTTACATCATAATGGGCACGCTTATTTTCATCCGGTGTCCATTGATCAAAAGTCTTTGGAACAGCTCCAGACTCCGTTGTTCTCATCAGAATGTAGGGACCATTGAGTACAGCATCCCAAACACCATAATCTAGTGTTTGTAAAAATATTTCTATTCTCGCCTTCCAAAACTGATAGTCTTCTCCTTCAAATAATGGTGGTCTGTTTATTGAAGCTCCTTCCCTATAAACCTGATTCTGCATAGTCATCTTGACAGATCGTTTAGAAATATCTTATCTAACCAAGCTCTGATACCACTTGTTAGACAAATGACATCTAGAGGGGGGGGGGGGTGAATATATGCACAAATTAAAATAGATGTAAAATTAAAAATTTATTTGTGAGTCAATAATTTGTTAAAGCGGAAGAAATAATATAATCAGGAAAAGAGAAAGAGAAGAGCATACAGAGATTTATACTGGTTCGGGTATAGCCAACCCTACATCTAGTTCCCAGTCAACTCTTAACACAAGAGTGACTCCCCATTCAGTTTACAAATTACAATCAACTCAGCAGAAGAACCAGTAAAAAGTAAACTAATTAAAAAGACAATCATCTCCTTAGAAACCCACTAAGGATGAACACCTCCCTAGAATCCCACTAGGGATGAACACCTCCTCTGAACAAATCAAAGGATGAAAACACCTCCTTAGAATCCCACTAAGGATGAAGGTAATAAAAATAAGAACAGACACACCTAGGTAATGGAGACAACAAATTGTAGAAGCTTGTAGAATGCCAATCTCCAAGAACAAGTGTGATTAACAATGAAAGCACGGAAGGCGGTAGAGAAGAGGGTTTTCTCAAAAGGTGTAAAAATATCTCCGTTGCCTTGCTCGAATTCTTTTCTCAAAAGCTGATTGAATGTAAATTGTATTTTCAAATTCCGTAATTGTGTGTTTTTTATTTTTCATCAAAACTTAATTAAATAGAAAAATAACATCAAAAAATGGTCGTTGGACATTAATAATATAGAGAAAATCAGGATGTATTAAAAAACATTTATTCTTTAAAACGAATATTTTTTTCAAATTTGAATTGTCATAATTGATTATATTACGAGTATAATTAATTATGATAGAGAAAATCATTTTTCCATTTCACGGTGCATCATAATTAATTATGACAGTGAAAAATATCATGTTATGAATTTTATCACACTTATGCTTTGGAGGCTTATGCATAATATTGCTTCATCAACCTGTACCTCCATATCCAGTATTCTAAGACTCTATCTAGTCTTCAGGAATGATCTTGGGCTTGCTTGAATCATCATCTTTATCAAAAACATATATTGGGCATGTAGGGAAATGTTTCACATTGTCACCTACGTCATAAATTCAGCTTGTCCTTAAATTCATCTTGAATGGTGTTGACTTGAATCATCATCAAAATCATCTCTTGGGAATGCAGGAACATTTCCATCAATCTCCCCCTCATTGCTTTCAATTTTTATGAGCAATTTTTTAGAGGAGAAACCCAAGTTAGTTTGATTGATTTGATAAATGTGAAAAGATATCATAATAAAAACATAGATGATTACTTAAATAGATTTAGACAAATGCAATCAAGATATTTTACACAAATCCCTGAAAGAGAGGTACTAAGAATGATAGCAGCAAATTTAGAAAAAGTTAATAAATACGCCTTCGAGATATATGCCACAGTTAGCAAATAAAGTTCGAAGAATCGAACAAAAAAACGAGAAAGAAGAGTTAAGTAAAAATAATGAGGAAATAAATGTAATTGAAATTAAAATTGGTCCTCCATGTATATATATATAAATTGTTAAAAAAAAATGAGGTTTCTGATAAAATAGCATATGAAACTTATAATTTCTATATAACAAGTCAAATAAGATTTTTGTTTGTAACGTATAATGCAAATATCACGTACCTACAAAATATCACTCTAGGCATTTTAGTAAGCTTTTTTTTTTTAACCCAAACATGTTATTCTTCATTAGCCTAGTTATTTTAACTTAACCATTCCATCCAAATTTTCAAACACATCATTTTTCTTAAAAACAACTCATCTTACATTCAATCACAATTATAATACAAACATTACATCTAATCATTTAACTCAATTTTAATAAATTTCAAATATTATGATCAAGTCGCTTTCACCATAAATCCTACTCATAAATCATTACAATAAATAAACTGAATATATATTATAACGCTCTTAGTCATTGATCTTTATGTATAAAAAAAACTCACATATAAAATCCAATAGTCCCACATAAAAAAAATCTCTAATTTACCTGTATAAAATCCACTGGTCCCACATAAAAAATCTCTAAATTATATGTAAAAATATTTTAAAATAGATAAAGATAAACTTATGCTAAATTTTGATCGAGCGGAATTCTATTTTAAAATTACTATTATTTAAATCTAAAAAAAAACTATAAATAAAGTTTGAATTATTAATTTTTTTATTTATAATCTTTTCTTTTAACTTAATCAATAAAACAATAAATTTTATACCTACTAAACTACTTTTAATTTTATACTTATACTAATTCAACACAAAAATCATGTTATAAAACACTGTTATTAATTTTAAAAAATAATAATAGAAATCATGTTTTGAAACAATATTTTAAAATTAAAAAAAAATCAAATTATGTTTTAAAACATAACTTTCATTAATTTAATGAGTTAAAATATATATTAGGATACATTTTAAAACATTTAACTTATATTTTTTAAGATATAAATTTTATTATTAAAAAAATCAAAACAAAATCGATTCATTAAATATGATTTTTTTTTCATTATATGACAGATTTTAAAATACAACTGACTTATTTGGTTATAAGTAATATTTTTATGACTTATTCATTATTTATAATTTATTTGATATTTTTTATATTTTTAGTTTTTTTTTAGGAACCGTGACACATAAAAATTCTGAGTCTAAACCTATCAGTTATAGAGTTTACTCATCATGTTATCACATTATTGTAGTTATTGTAGTAAAATTGACATTTAGCTCTGAATCAGTATTTTATTCTGTAAATCAAATGAATATGTTTAGAAGAAACGAAAAGAGAAAAAGTGGTAATGAAGTGAGAAACATAGACTTGTTCTCTCTTTTTTTTCTTCTGTTTTCCTCTTAATTCATAATTTGTAACCTGACATGAATGATTTAGATAGCATTATTATAATGTTTCTCTCGTGAATTTTGTTGGAAACTTTTAGTCTTCTCTCGGTAACGTAAAAAAGAGAGACACAAATATGTGGAAATAAAATAAAATAAAATAATTTAATTGGAGAGATAAAAGTTTATTAGAATCACTATTATTATTATTATTATTTGGAATTTTTATATATTTCTAATTCAATTGAAGATGACATATTAAAATTTATAATTCTCGTTCATTAACATAAATCATAGAAAAATACTAATATTGATAAAAAAATTTAATAAAAATATATTTTTCATTCTTTATATTCTTTAATCTCATTTCTTTCTAAAGACAAAATTCTTTATATTATTTTATATAATTAATTTTAAAAAATAATTCTTCATATTATTTATTAAGTTGAATAACTTCGTATTCTATTCAATAAATTGAATAATTCTTTATATTATCCACTAAGTTATTTATTATTAATTTTAAAATTTCCCATCACATTAATCAGTTAAATTAATTTATTTATTAATTTTTTTATAAAAAAAATTAAATTAATTTTTAATATGTATTTAATAATTGTTAATTAATTAGTCTTTCAATTTATCATGTGACATCCCATCACTTCATATAGTTTTTAGTTTAATTTTATAAATATCTCATTTTTATTTTAATTAATATAACATGTTTTTTTTATTATACTTCTAGATCCCTTAATAACCTCAATAGTTAATGAGTCAATATCTCGATCATGAAGTCACGACAATAATTAACACGATAAACTTGAGTATTACAAAGAATTTCAGAAAAAAATGTTAACTAAAAAGTAAATATATTATAAAATTAAAAGCATGTTTAAATCGTGAAATGTATATAAAGTAAGAGAGTTGTTGTAAGTAAAATAATCAATTAGTTTGTTTTGGAGTGGACTCTCATGTAGATGTAAAATGTCCTTTTGTAAGAAGAACAAAAATAAATTGTTTGGACAACTTGGGCTTTGGATAACTTGGGCCTACGTCAGGTTGAGTGCCTTGCAATAATGCATGTAAGATTAAGCCCAATCGTGACCGTTATATTATCCTCATGATCTTCTATTTCAGGTTTTGATTACTTCAACGAACTATTTCCTTTATCAAATTAAAAATGTTGGTGAGGCGTTTCTCAGTTAAATCGCCGGTGAATTGGGCTCTTCCCTCAACCGTCGTCCCGCACCGCCTCTTGAGCTCCAACCAAAACGACGACGTGCAGAAAGTCTTCGGCATACTGAGCAGCACCTCCACGGCGGAACAGTTGAAAGAATCCCTCAAATCAAGCGGTGTTTTTCTCTCCAATGACTTAATCGATCAAGTCCTCAAGAGGGTTCGCTTCAGCCACGGCAACCCCTCCCAAACCCTTGAGTTTTTCCGTTATACTGGAAGAAGGAAAGGGTTTTACCACACTGCCTTTTCCCTTGACACCATGCTCTACATTCTCGGGAGAAGCCGCATGTTCAGCCACATTTGGGACCTCTTAATCGAATCCCGTCGGAAAGACCAAACGGCCATAACGGCTCGCACCGTTATGGTCGTGTTGGGCAGAATCGCCAAAGTGTGTTCCGTTAGACAAACGGTGGAATCGTTTAGGAAGTTCCGGAAGCTGGTGCATGAGTTTGATACTGATTGTTTCAATGCTCTGTTGAGAACGTTGTGTCAGGAGAAAAGCATGACGGATGGTAGAAACGTTTACCATAGTTTGAAGCATCGTTTTCGTCCTAATTTGCAGACTTTTAACATTCTTCTTTCGGGGTGGAAGACACCTGAGGATGCTGAGGGGTTCTTCAAGGAGATGAAGGAAATGGGAGTGACACCTGATGTTGTTACGTACAATAGTTTGGTCGATGTTTACTGCAAGGGGAGGGAAATTGAGAAGGCTTATAAGGTGCTTGATGAAATGCGTGACCGGGATCTGTCGCCGGATGTGATCACGTATACATGTATCATTGGTGGGTTGGGGTTGATTGGACAGCCTGATAAAGCTAGGGGTGTTTTGAAGGAGATGAAGGAGTATGGGTGTTACCCTGATGTTGCAGCCTACAATGCTGCCATCAGGAATTTCTGTATTGCAAAGAGGCTTGGTGATTCTTATGCTTTGATGGAGGAGATGGTGAGCAAGGGTTTAAGTCCGAATGCAACTACTTACAATTTGTTCTTTAGGGTATTTTACTGGTCCAATGATTTACAGAGCTCTTGGAGCATGTACAAGAGGATGATGGTTGAGGGGTGTCTTCTGAATACGCAATCTTGTATGTTCTTGATAAGGTTGTTTAGGAAGCATGAGAAGGTGGAGATGGCGCTGCAGCTATGGGGGGACATGGTAGAGAAGGGTTTTGGGTCGTATACCTTGGTTTCTGATGTGCTGTTTGACTTGCTTTGTGATATGGGGAAGTTGGAGGAAGCAGAAAAGTGTTTCTTTGAGATGGTTGAGAAGGGGCAGAAACCGAGTAATGTGTCATTTAGGAGAATCAAGGTTCTCATGGAACTAGCGAATAGACATGAGGCCCTTGAGAGCTTGACGCAGAAAATGGCCATGTTTGGGCGACCACTCCAATTGCATCGAAGTTGTCCAAGGATCTTGCAGAATATAACTGTTTGGAAGTGGTAAGCTTGGATGTTACTGTCATGCTATTGGCAATCTGTTATGCTTCTGGAACATCAAACGTACAATCATGTTCGTCGGGACATGAAGGTCAAGAACCAACGACGTGTTTCAACCATTATATATTCATATAGATACTTAGTATTGACCTTTTGGCATTGGTTTTGCTTTTAAAACTTTTTCGAAAGGTTCGAATAGGATGGCTTTTGGTGATCAATTTTTCATTTCATGATGTGGTGACTTGCCATGTACGTACCCCGTCATACCACAAAGTGCCAACAGAAATGTCAATGATACCAACTTGGTTGTTTAAATGATGTCCCTCCAGTTTCGAGTCTTTACTTTTGTCCCCAATTGAACACAAGAATGAAACGAGATCTGCTTCGAGGTATATCTTGAAGACGGCGATCGAAAAGCTCACGACATAGTACCCGTCCGATAGTATTGATTTCTTGGTGCTACATCACCTGTAAATCTGGAATAGTGTATCAACAGTCACCAAGCTAACCCTGATTGTGTACATAGGTTCATTAATTTAATTAATATAGCTCATATTGTGAAAAAATTCTCGCATGTTCCTGCTTCATAATAACAACAGTTTTTTTTTTTAAATTAATATGAATTAGAATTTGACTTTACATAATTGAGTGCTCTTCCTACATGTATATCTTATACTTTAACTATGCCCAAATTTTCATCCAAAGTTGCCATTAGTCCCGCCGTCACACAATCGAATAGCAATGTCCGTAAGAATTTGAGACATATGTATCGTTCGCATAATACGAGGCTTTATATAATTCAATTGATTTCACAAATCAAATGGTAAACAATGCTATTTGGTTATACATGGAAAAAAAAAATTCAAATTATTCTTCAGTGACAGATCGCTGTTCTTTTCGAAGAAAAATAATACATGCCTGAACAATGAAAATCTAAGTAGAGCAAGAAAATCAGATACGAAAGACGGCCGAAGTAAAACTCAACTTCCTTGCATCCTTAACTAATAAATCACTATGCCTGCAAATTATTCAAAAAAGAAAAAGTATCAGTTAAAACTGTCAACATGGACCAGTTTGCAAATCATCCACTCATTCAGTATTAACCTTGTTTGCAATGTTGTTTGAGAGCCAGTCAAGTCCTTCATAGAGCCCTTCACCAGATGTGGCACATGTGCTCTGGATATACCTGCATGAAGAGAACATGTAGGTGAATATGAATGGTGAAAGCAGAAAGATAAGGACGGTGAGGAGAAGAACGTTGACAGTCATATTCTAGTTTACCAGTGACGCTGACGGAGGGAATGAAGACCAAGCTTATCAGTGATCTCCGCAGCGTTCATAGCATTTGGAAGATCTTGCTTGTTGGCAAAAACTAGAAGCACGGCATCTCTCAACTCGTCCTACCAGGTGTAAGATTATCCATCAACATAGAGAAATTTATTTGAGATATCAAATAAAATGAAATAAGCTACCCTTTTCAAGTTCACTCATTTATGATCCATGCTATTACCTCATTCAACATTCTATGCAGCTCATCTCTAGCTTCAACAACTCGGTCCCTGTCATTACTGTCAACCACAAAGATAAGTCCTTGGGTATTTTGGAAGTAATGTCTCCACAATGGGCGGATCTACAGGGATAAACACATCAATGGTGAGTGGGGATGACTATCATACTGAAATAAAAAAGTTTTAAAAATAAATCTAAGAGATCTAACTAATAACAAGAGGTCAAATGTTAGACAATTTCAGGAAAAGGGCTTATATCACATACACAAACCCTGTAAAGACTAAATTTATAAATTGCATGATTGAGAACTTAATCACGCACTGGTCAGACTGAGTACATCCATGGTCTTGAAATAAAAAAAATGGACATATGGTTAGTTTGAGTAAACTTTTCCCACAGTACTTATAGGAGAAGCTAAAAATAGTTTATATATATATATATATATATATATATGTGTGTGTGTGTGTGTGTGTATGTGTGTGTGTGTGAGAGAGAGAGAGAGAAACTAAAGTGGAAAAGCTTCTATAAATAGTTTATGCATAATCTCATTTCAATATAGAATTTATTTCATTTTTTCTCCTACAAGTAGTTTTAAAGAAGTTTATCCAAATAGAAATATAGACAAAAAGTTTCCATTCATTTTTTTGTGACATTGATAACCACCACAAATATTCTAGTATCATAGATACGACCAAGACCAGAACATTCAAGGTTGTGGATAACGAGGTTTATGTTCAAGTTGGTCACATCGTTCCCATGTCTGGGTACATATTCACTCTTTCTAGGATTTGTTGCTGATCTCCGGGATTTATGGATCAGAGTGAGTAGTGCGTTTCAAGTAGAGATGTTAAGTGATATCATAATAGCCCCATTAGTTTAGATTATCCTCTAGTTAGTTAATTATGAAAGGTCGGATGATCCATCCTCCTAGGGGTTACACAGCCCCCAAACCTCTAGTGCGTCAGCACGTTGAGGCTTATTGGGAGGTACGGTCGGATAACCCAACACCCTGGGAGGGTATAATTACAATTTAAGCACCTGCACCTCCAAATAACAAACAAAGAATATTATAGTCTATATCCACTGATTCCACACTAAAAATTACTCACTAGAACTCAAATTTGGAGTGTAAACCGTATCTACATAGCAGTTCGAGCAAAGTTCCAGTAAATTGATCACGTTATAATATCAAAACAAGCACTATAATGTCAGATGTTGGACAAGATGATGCAGGGGGGGATAAATACCTTGTCCTGACCTCCCACATCCCAAACAGTGAAGCTGATGTTCTTATATTCCACAGTTTCCACATTAAACCCTGCGCCAAATGAAGTATTAGTAGAATGATTCACTCGTTGTTAGAAGGGTAAGATATTATATTCTCATGCCAACAATCATACTGAATATACTAAATTTAGGCTAAGCACATTGACCAATACCATTCTCAGTAGACATAGAAAGGAACGAGATAAACTATACTTCTTCCTTCTCAATTTATAACAATTAAAAAATTATAGAGCTAAAATCGAAAAGGCTAATCTAGTATCAGAAGATCTTAAAGCTAGCCTCAATAGATAAAGTAAAATTGAAGAAAAAAAGATAACAATAACATCAAATGAACGGAAATCGGCAGGAAAGACCAAAACCGGAATTGATCCCACATTGGATAAACTGCTTCCTCATTCAATTGAAATAGTTAGACATGCCCTCTCAACATCCTATCCCATTCCATCAGCCAACATAAATCGATGTAGATAGAACAAATGAAACTTACCAATGGTGGGAATGGTGGTGACAATTTCTCCAAGCTTGAGCTTGTACAGAATGGTAGTCTTACCCGCAGCATCGAGACCCACCATAAGTATACGCATCTCTTTCTTGGCAAACAGCCGGCTGAACAACTTGGTGAAGGACAGCCCCATTTTCAACTACTCTGAATCAACAACCACCGTCCAAACAGCACCAGTCCATTCAATTCAAATTTCAACCGCAACAAATCAAATCCGAACCAAAACAATAATAATAACAATAAGGCACAGTGTTGTTGATATACAGATGGAGAAACATCATAACATATACAACATGTAAAATGAACGGGAGCCAGACAGTCTTGCATCCATGACCAACCAGAATTAGGTTCCGATCTGATAAAGAGATGGTGAATAAAAGAAAACTAGGTGGCGATTCAAATCGTGCGATCTCAAGACACGCGATGCAGATCGAGCAAGGACAAAACCAGATCGTTGATCAAAATTAAGATACGAGAAATCGCAAAACTAATCTAGACGAAGTAACAGATCATCTATTCAGACAAAAATCCAAAGCTAAAAAAGAACTAACAAAAAGAGAGATTAGGTTCTGAAGATGGAAATGGCGAAGAGATCCATAGAAAGAGAAGAGAAAGGGAGAGAGAAACTTACCTTGAAAAGGAAGAGAGATATGATTGGGGAAGATGGAGGAAGCAGATCTCTTCTCTTTGCAACAAAGAGAAAAGAATGGAAGTGGTCTCAGAGGAAGGCCTTCGCGGATTTATAGAACGCGGACAAAGATCCAAAATTCGTGTTTCCCCATGAGAACGTCGTCGTTTATCTGCTCTTCTTTTTTATCTCGGATTACTACTTCACGCTCGTTAACTTAACTCACTTTTTTTTAAATTAACCGAGAATACTCGTATTGTTTTCCCAAATTTCCCATTTCTCGAGATTAATCTAAGCATTTTATATTATTCCCCTCTTTTAAAGATTAAAAATGTGTTGCATTTTAAATTGTTTCAATATGAATGGGCTTTTTAAGATCTTTTTTCTATGATATAATTGTTAACTAACAATTTGAGCATTCAAGCTTCGGAGAGTGAATTAATTGTCAATTTGGATAGTTAAAGTGGGTGGTAATGTTTACCTATAACTATCGAAATGGACCGGCACTGATGCACTCTCATGTATTTTGAGTTAATTAGACTTGATTTGTTTAATTTTGAAAAAAATCATATTTTAGAAACTTTTTTATATATATTTGTTACTTATCAGTGAATTAAAAAAATATCGAGCTCGAGAGCTCGAGAGCAAAAATTGAAAATTAGAAGGTAAAGATAGAGAGTAATTAAAAGACTAGAAAATCAAAGGCATTTAAGATAAAATATTGAAAGGAGAAAAATTGAGGGTTTGAGAGAAGGTAGAAAAGGATAATCGAAGAGTGAAATGACAGTAAAGAAAAAAAGAAAATTGAGAGAAGGGAAAAAGGGAGAATTGAAGAATTCAGAGTCAGTGAAAAATAAAAAAAGAATATTAAGGAAGTGTTAAATTCTAAAAATTATAAAAAGATCTAAGGAATAAATAAAATTTAATTGAATATTTAATGATGGGAAAGAATGAATGTAACAATCAGAAAAGATATATTATTAAGATAGAAGAATAATTAGTGTTGATTTTTTTAAAAATATAGTAATCAATGACTTAGTGGAGACCATCCACATAGATAAAATCGAGAAGAAATTGCATAGAAGGATCTTCTAATAGTATATCAAAAGAATAATGAAAACGAGTTAAGAAACAAATTCTGTGGAATGTGTAAGTTACAAGTAAACGTGTGTCGCTAAGGTGAAACAATTACAATAAGATAATTGTTTGAAGATTCTAATTTGTAATTTTTATTTTTATTTTTGTGATTATTTTAGTGCTTGCAAAAAATAATATATATAGGATAAAATAAAGATAATCAAGGTGTTTCGGTGAAAATTTGATCGATTTCGATTTATCAAGACTTAAGTTCTAATCAAATCTCAACCATGTAGATTCTTTTTATTTAGGCTAGCAAACAGCTTTTCAATCGAAATGTGTATGAGAATCGAGAATCCCAAAATCTCAAAAAGATGCAAACCACATGATCTAGAATGCAGAAAATACTATTTTTTGGTATTTTATATTAAGAAACACGAAGTAAAGAAAACAGTAAAAGCGTCGAATCGAAAGAAGAATATTAAATTGCAGAGAAATGTAGAATGCGAAAACCTCAAATTTGCATTATATGTAAAAGGCAAGAAATCGAAATTGTGAAAATGTAAATAACAGGAAATCGAAATTGCAGAAATGTAAATGGCGAGGATCTTAAATGCATAACATTAACTTGCATAAAAGTAACTTTTGCATAAAAGTAAATGACAAGGAATCGAAATGACAAAACTTAAAGTTTGACAAACGTAAATTGCAATGAGAGTAAATTACCAGGGAAAGTAAAGAAAGTGATAAAGATAATCAATGAAAACAGAAATCCAGAGCATTAGAAACTTCATGATGTGTCGTTCTCCTGTAGACTTGTTCACTTGCGCTTCTGTTGTCTCTGTCAATTTCCTCATTCTTCCTCAAGCTTCGCTCTATTTATAGAGCGCCCTTCAAATAACCTCCTAAAAGCAGTTAACAAAACTGCCACCACGATCCATCACGTACATCTCTTAGTGTTACGGTTTAGAAAACTGCATTCCACGTTCCCATGCATGAGATAACTGCCTCTTTGATCTTCGACCTCAGCCTTAGTTTAGAAACCGCTTCCCATGTTCTATGTGTGTGTTAACCGTTCCCTTGATCTCAATTTCAGACATCGAGTATTTTTGAATTGCTTTTGATTCCCTTTAATCTTAACTTTGCACTATTCTAATTTCCCGATTCTCTTCAACAATAGACATCGAAATTTGTTTCTTTGATTCTCGATTTGGATTCTCGATGTGTTTTTATCTCGTGGTTACCAAGTGTCTTTTACCTGTCTTATCAATTTTTAACCAACTATATGATATTCGATTCTCTCTCTCTTGTTCTTTCGATCCTGGTATCGATTTTTCTTTTACTAACAAATGCCCCCCTGGAAGAATATCAATTTTTTATATTCTTCCAAGTAAGACTCCCTCCTTTAATCGTTCTTGAAAACTTGAGATAACTCCTTGGGATTTTTAGGGTTTCCAGGGTTTTAGGGTTTCTGGGGTTTTAGGGTTTCTCCATTTATGTTACCTGTCACATCACTTCTGCTATTACGCTTTTACCTACTTTCTAATTCATCGTTTTGCATACCCTACCCAGCTTCTTTAAATACTTTTATAAATTTTTACCCCTGTTTTTTACCACAAACCTCACTTTTCCTTTGTTTGCCCGTCTTCATCTTCAACCTTTCGTCTTCCTCTTCTCTTCCGGCTCAAATGGCAACAACCTCAAAATCTTCTGATTTCTCCGCCCCACCACTCTCCTCGGTGACCTCTAACCTAATAGAGATAAATGGGAGGAAGTTTGCTCCGGTTTCCTTGATGGAAGAAGCCTCCCAGAGGATCGCCGAGACCCAGGTACTTATCTCTTACATTGCTGAAAATGTAAGATATGCGTTTGGTGGTCCTATCCGCTACTGTGGCGGATCATTTTCTTCTTCCCTCAATCTTCCTTCAGAGAGTAAGGCTCCTATCCATCAGTCTGAGGTTCGAATTGACTTTCTAAATATTGTATCTAAAGTATATCGAACAGGCCCTCCCCACAAAAAATCCCTGTACATTAGGTGGTTTGATCGTGTTAAGACCAAGTGTGGGAACCATTGGAGAGATGTGGGGATCTTCGATTTCCTACATCTGTCTCGATGTGATTTATCCTTTTTAGATATGACTATGTTTTTATCAGCTGTCCATCTATGGAATAAGGACTTGCATGCATTAGAACTTCCCTATGGTCCCCTTTCACCCACCCTCTTTGAAATCGCTGCAATTATTGGATTAAAGCCCACAGGGGAGAAATACTATAAGGGTGCTTTCCCTTCGGATAATTCTTTAAGGTCCAAAATCGATTGGGAATCGAAGGCCTACGGACATTTTCTCGAGAAACATTTTATCGACGATCCAACAATAATTGTTTCTGATGAGGAGCATGTAGCCTTCTTAGTATACTGGCTTTGCACCCACGTTTTTTGCCCTCGATCCATCCAGATTTCGACCCACCTTTATAACCTTGCCTACCTCCTTCACACTGGCCAACCACGGATTTGTCTAGCAAAATTATTATTGGCCCATGTTTACACTTCTTTCGATGAAGCTGTCGATATTTTGAATACCCCCAGGGCCTCGGGGAAATTTTCAGGTCCCATTTGGTTCATTCAATTATGGCTCACCTCAATTTTTGAAAGTATTCTCTCTCCAACCTCCAACATTCCCCCAAGTTAAAATTTGGAAGGTGCTCGATTGTCCTCTCGACATCCTCACCACAAACCCGATGAGGCCACTTATCGCAATTACCTAAGATTTTTATTAACTCGATTTCATTTTGATTCAATCTTGGCCCCCTTCACCGTGTATCAAGGGAAAGCAAGTGACAGACTTCGAGGGCCAGTATGGTTTAAGTCAAAATTCCCTGCTCTTACTTCCGGGTTACAATCAGAACCGGTCGACGTGTGGAGTAATTATCTAACTCAAGATGTTTTGGTATCGGGTTTTCAATCAAAGGATCTTCAACTTGTTACTTATTATCCCCAGCTCTTCTCGAGGCAGTTTGGTTTGAGTCAAGCTTTACCTTTTTTCCCCTTCGATACCTCCTCAAGGTCCAAATTAAGTGAATCAACTGTTGGACGGGAGCTCGCCAAATTGCTGCCAAAAAACCCGATGCATTTTTACCCTTACGCTTTTGAATCGAATTATTTATCTACTCTTGGTTTTTCTCAGTGGTGGACCGATTGGTTCTCAAACATTCATTCTAATTTTGACATTGTCCAATCAAAATTGACTGCTCGTCCTTCTCTCGTGTTGCAGGATAAATCGAAGGCGAAGAAAGGTACATACTCTCACTATCTCCAAATATCTCGATTCAGAAATTTTTATCGAGCATGCTACAATTCCTCGAAATTAGAAGAGACCTTTTATGATGTTGTTATTTCCTTAGTCAACAAAATAAACACTAACCGATCG